GTCAAAATGCAACCACCATACACTCTCATTAACACACATACACTACGGACAATTTAGCCTACCCAATTCACCTTTACCGCATGTCTTTGGACTTGTGGGGGAAACCGGAGCACCCAGAGGAAACTCACGTGAACATGGGGTGAACATGCAAACTCCACACAGAAAGGCCAACTGGCCCAGCCGAGGCTCGAACCAGCAACCTTCTTGCTGTGAGGCTACCCGCTGCACCACCATGACGCCCCAAGTTTAATCAGTGTATCAAAAAAGGTTAAAAAAATAAAAAAAAACTACCTATCGTTAACTTAAGACTGTCCAAATTATTTGGCATCAAAAAGAAAAAACTGTAGTTTATTGTCATTGAATGCAGTGCAGTATATATTGGCTCAGTGATTAGCACTGTCACCTCACACAGCAAGATGGTCGCTGCTTCGAGTCTCAGCTCTACCAGTTGGCCTGTCTGTTTGAAGTTTGAATGTTCTCCACGTGTTTAGGTGGGTTTCCTTCAGGTGCTCTGGTTTCCCCCACTGTCCAAAGACATTTGCTATAGGTGAATTTGGTGAACAAAATTGGCCATAGCGTATGAGTGTGTGTGTGTGAATGTGAGAGTGTATAGCTGTTTCACAGTACTGGGTTGTGGCTGGAAGGGTTGGCAGTTCATTCCGATGTGGCAACCCCTGATAAGTAAGGGACAAAACCGATGGAAAATAAATGATTGATAATCAGGTGATTTATCATATTTTACCGTTTCTCACTTGTATTCAATTAAGGCATTTTCCTATTAAAACTTGTACTTTTGTATTGTCAAAAAGAACAACTAAACGTACATTCTGTACATAATATGCAATGAAAATAAATAATAAACATAACAATATGTTTGAATAGGGGGTAAACTTATCAATTTTATCAGACATTACTCTTTGCCACTACACTGTAAAACCCCAAAAGTTAAGATAACTCAAACCATTTCAGGAAACCGATTGCAACAAACCATTTAAGTTAAAAAACAATCCTAATTAGTACTGTGAACTTACTCCATTTGAGTTAACGAAGCAATTTGAGCACAGTTAAACCCGATAGATGAAGAGAACTCAAACCAACTGAGTACTGTAAAACCTAATAAGTTAAGGCACCTTAAACCATGTGAGGAAACTGATTGCTACAAACCATTTGTTAAAAAAATAATCCTATTGAGTACTGTGAACTTACTTCATTTAAGTTGAAGTAATGAGGTATTTGATTAACCCATTACCTTAAACACTGAGTTCTAAACTCGTTTCAAATGAGTAGAAATAACTTTTAGTAAAATGTGAGTTAACTACTCTCATTTCATTTGATTAAGTGGACTGATGGGTTTTACAGCGTACTGTTGGTTACATTTTTCAGAATACTGCCAAGTGTTAAGATGTGTTGAGTTTGCTGAGTTTTATTGGTTTTATGAATCATATCTATTTTAGACGACTTTTTGAGTTGCAGACAATAAAGAATTGTCATTTTACAGACGAGCATGTCCTCAAATGTTGATCCACGAGTTGTCTGAACAAACAATTTCACATTGGAGAATGTTGCAGATTTTTTTGTGTTTGTAAGCTCACTAAATGCATCCTATGGGTAAAATATGCAGTTACTGTTTCATTTTCTTGCTGTTGGCAGAATCTATTTACGCTGTTGTTGTTATTTTTGTTTCCACTGTTTAGTGTTGTTTTTGTGTGGTGATGCTAGGAGTTCATCATTATACTTTTACTCACCCCAAAATAAAATTTTTCTCACTGTTTACTTGCAATTATGCTATTTTACACCTGCACTACTATTTTTTTTTTCAACATTCTTAAATGCATCTTCTTTTGTGTTCCACATAACAGTTTTTTCTGGTTTGGAATGATATTAAGGTGAGTAAATAATGACAGAATATTTAGTTTTCATTTTTTCAGTTAATCCTTTAAAGGCATTTGTTCATTAGAAAATATTTTCTTCTTGTAGTTTAATAAACTCAGTGTACTTCAAACAAACATAATCATGTAAAATATCATCAAATTTACCTAATAATTCATACAAATGATTGAACATTTACTAAATAATTAAATTCTTAACCATTGCTATTGAAATTTTTCAAGTTGAAAGATGAATTTTACATTGATATCACTTATTTTTCAACAGTTCTCTCTCTCTCTCTTTTTTTTTTTTTTTTTTTAAGAGTCTGGCCCTTGAGCCTGCGGTTTGTGTTCCCCGTTCACTTCAAAAAAGCATTAGGTTTATCCCAATTGGCAGTGGACGGCTGAGGCAGCCTCTTCCTGCCTCTGTGCCAACATAATCATTTTTTTTCTGGGGCACAACAACAAAAACAACATGCATGGAAGAAGAGTGACATCATTTGACATTTGCCTCAAACGGCTAAGTGATCGCCTAAAGAAAAGCAATCCTCTGCCTCCAGAAGAAACTGCCTTGTACCCCATGTCTCCCTCTCCGCTCTACCATGATGTGCCCCGCTTGGCTCGGGGAGACAGCAATGGAGGGGCAAGGGGAAAGAGGGCGCGAGGAAACGCTGTGGAATGTGCTGGAGAAGAGAGAAGGGGGGCAATGAGTGAACCCTCCAAATGGCTGTGCAAGGTTTCCCCCCTCCTCTTCTTCTCTCAGTAGACACTTGGAGCTGTCTTTTGTCTCAAGGGTTTGAGTCTACAGTGTGTTGTTAGGACAACCAACAGGAACGGACAGCCTGACAAAGTACAAAAAAGGGGAACCACACACACATAGATTGATGGGGAAAAGGGCAGAATGAGGGAAAGGATGTCCTGGAGAGGTGTTAGGAGCAAGATGATGGAGTAGCACACACACGCACATATTTTATGGCTCTCCCACTCCCAGTGTCTCTCCTGTACTATTAGAGGCAGAATGAAACTGCTTTCTGGCGGTATTTGAAAGGAGGGTTAAAAAAGGCCCTATTCAGCGGCCGCAGCCCTTTATTAACACGCGCGCTTCTGTAACAGATGAGGGGGGAAAATCCCCCGCGCGCACGGAGGTTGGTCTCGTGCTCAGGTATGATGTCCTTTCTGTTCTCGCAGCTCGCCTGCCATTGGTCGTGCGGGGCTCTAGAGGAGGGGGCCTGTCCGCTCCCCCACCCCTCCTCGCGGGGCCCCCTCGCCTCTGTCTGCGCGAGAGTGAATGGAGAAGCGCACAGCTGCACAGCGCTGCACAAACTCCGAGCGGCCCGACCGGCTGACTGACTGCCTGCCGCTGAGCCCCCGTCTAACCGGCGCTCTGATTGGGTGAGGCGGCATCCACCTGCTGGCTCTCAGTCGGCACAACCCGATCTACCTATTCATGATCATCCGAACTGAGGCGCTGAAGCAGGAGGCGCGGGCACCGGAGCCGGGATGACGTGTTCCGAGCCATGTTTTGGAATGAGGAGCAAATGCAGAGCCTCTAACTTTTACCCTCCGCCGCAGACTTCACTGTACTCCTCCGGAGCAGCCGGGCAGACACTTCAGCCGTCCATCATCTCTCTCTCCTGTGAGGCTGCTGCTGCGGAATGGCTTCTCTCGTCCGGTCACCGATATTATCGATCAAGGGCTTCTGTCTATCTCGTATCTGACTCACTTATCTCTCACAGGGCAAAACTCGAGTAAAATGAGTCAACGTCGAACTGTTAGCTCAGAAAAGCAGGTACTAGTATATATGGCATGCAAATTTAACATTCATTAAAAAAATAATCATTTAAAAAATTAGGGGTTATTATTATGTAAGTAGGCTAGTGTTGTTCTGCTCTAATTGACCATATTTCAATAGTGATTATAACAAATTCAGTTAATCACTTATGAATATTCATTTGGTATTAGTCATCATCACAACAGTGACTAAGAAATTTATGTTATAGGAATTTTTTGTCATTGAACTCATCTTTGTCGTTGAACTTTGTGTTTCAAAAACCAAGAATCCTATTATTTCCCAACATCAGTGTATTTTGGCTGATTCCTGTTGAAGGCTGCTAGTTTTTATTTGATTTTGTTGTAGTAAATGTAACAGGCTAGTTTATAGCTACTTCATATGCTCTAGTGGATAATAACCATCTTCAGCAGTGTAATATTCTAGTATGATACAATAGCAGCTTATCTGTCCCGGTTATTAATACTCGCACTTTCATTTTTGCTATATATGTTGCTATTCTATTCATTTAAATTGAATTAATTTAAGTAGTAATTTGTAAATTGGGAGTAAAAAAGCAGTAGTAGCTAGCATATTAATGAACGTTATGTAGAGTAAATGTAAATCCCGCTTGCCATAGTAGCCCAGCAGTGTGTAGTGAACGGCAATGTTGCAGGAATGTCACACAGACGTTTCCAGTCGTTTCATCATCATGCGTTGGTCATTCTAATGTCATGTATGACAGGGGGACGATTTGTGCTGCTAGTTTTTACACACCGAGCTGCGCTCAGTCATCAGCTGAAGAACACAGCTCGACCTTCATCGCGATTTATAGCTGTGCACATAAAACCTGCCTTGTGTTTTATCCTTTATCCAAGTTTTTTTCGTCTCCTCGGTTTGTGCTCCTCCTGTTGCGCGTGCACAATTCAGAAGCCTGGAGTCGTCAGTCGTTTGCTCCGTTTTTACTTTCAGAAATTGCAATGACCGGACAACAGGTGCATGTTCTGGAGATACAGGTTGTAACAAATGTATTTGTTGCTCCCATCAACCATAGCGTAGACTACAATATGGAAAACGTTAATCAGTTTGCCCACTTCCTTTGGACATTTTAACCCTGGCAGATAAAATCGAGCGCTGATTTTTAAAGTGTAGGGATATGACGTTATTTTTGTCGATGCTGTATCGGAAAGATTGTCCTGTAATGGTCACAACGGTAGTGGTGACGAGTATTGCGGTGCTATATACAGTAAGCACGGCAGACATGTAATACCGTACGCGTCCACTGGATGTCGCGCGACACCATTTAAACCGCTTTCTATTATATTTTCTTCTGTGTAGATGTTTAAAAGACATCTCTTTCATTGCTCTTTGCCCCGTATGGCTTTTTATTCCTATCTGAGAATTGCTCAGGACTCATATAGGGATGGAAGCCATGCAGGGCTGGGGGACTGTGTCATCATGGAGACTTGGTGCCAAACACTGCACTTTATATGCCAATCATGTGACACACATACACCTGTCCTGGCATCGGTCCGGGCACAGATGCCCATTGAATCTGGCTGGCTGCAGGGAGAATATCTGATTCTGCTCTGCCAATCAATCCACAGAAGGTTCTCTGAAGTCTCATTCACACACACACATACACAGGCATATGCGCGCGCGCACACACACACACACACACACACACACACAAACACTAACACACAGGCTGGACATCTGCTGCCAAATGACGGTGAGGCAGCTGTTCATTTGCATCAGCACCACCAGGTACATCACACACACTCAGTCTGGAGACAAGTCCAAATGTTAATGAACTTGACTGAATGAGGTTAATATCCTGTAAGATACAAGCTGCAATTTTGGGCGTTTTTGTATTGCATAGTCATTTAATTTTTTTTTTTAATAATAAAAGAATAATAACTTGCTTATGTGTGTACATTTATTGATCTCTAAAATGATTCATCGTGAAAGAATTTTGAATAAGGATATATTTTGCATGAAGAAACTCTATTTTAAGCTTTATTTTTTTATTTTACATTATTTATTGTTAATATCAATAAGCCAGTTAATAAGCCGAAGCACTGAATTTTTTTTCCTTGGAATTAGCAAGATTTTAAAGTTAAGTGGTTTTAACCCTTTGACTGCCCCTCTACCAAACGGCTGACCATGTTTTTGCTATTTTAAATAATGACATGTTAGTCATTTGAAGAATGACTGGTTTGGTTTGCACACACAGCATTGTTGGTTTACAAAATATTCAAACAAATAAAATCCTGTTGGACTACTACACTTGACTTTGGTTTTATTGTAAAAAAAAAAAAAAGAAAGCATGTTAAATGAAAATCTGAAATATTTTATGGCATACTTAAAAATAAAGATAATTTAGTTTTCAGAAATGTTTTATTTTGAACATTTTTTTTTTATAAATTAGTCTTAAACTTCATATTTTTATATTTTTCATGGTTTATGTATTAATTCCGTTATAATTACCATAAACTGACATATCAACCATTTGGTAGAGGTTGAAATTTTAGAAATTATGTGTTGAAAAGTAATTGCACTGAGTGTGTTAACTTCATTAACATTAGGAGTTAAGAAATATAATCCAAAAACCTTTTTTTTTTTTTTTTTTTTTTTTTGTGGGGTTAAAGGGATAAACTATTTATTTGGGCTGAATTTGAACAAACAATTTAAAATTTAACAAGTTGAAAATTTGAAAATTACTAAAATTTTAATTAATTTGTTTGTTTAAAGTCAACCTATATAAATTGTTTGCAACAATTTTGCTGAATTTTTTCCCCCAGTGTGTTTACTATTATATATTCAGATAATTTTTTCATAAAATGAAAAAGTCACAAAAACTAAATTTTGTTTAAAGAAAACAAAACAAAACTTATTATAAAGATTATTGAATGCTTAATTTTTTTGTTAATTTTCCCTGTGATTATTTACTGTAATGGGAGTAATTAAATAAAGATACTATTGAATAAGAAAACAAAAACTTTATGAACATAATCATAATTTAAAAAACACATTTATCACAAGAATATTTACTTTAAGATGATCTTTTACAATTAAATTTTTAATTTTGGAAAATTTAAAAGACCCTAAAAACAAAAACAACAAATTATTTTGCATAGTGTAAATGAAACAAAAAGAAATGAAAAGACAACTGAACCTAATTTCTTCTTGAACAGACAATTTATTCTAGCACTATAAAATAAAATAACTGTACTAAGAGCCACAATAGCAACTTACTAAAATAAAGATTTTTTATTTTTATTTTATTGCTTATTAAAATACAGTAAATTCATTCATTCATTCATTCATTTTTTTTTCGGCTTAGTCCCTTTATTAATCTGGGGTTTCCACAACGGAATGAACCGCCAACTTATCCAGCATGTTTTACGCAGCAGATGCCCTTCCAGCTGCAACCCAAATGCCAACTGACCCAATTGAGGCTCGAACCAGCACCCTTCTTTCTTGCTGTGAGGTGATCGTGCTACTCGCATGCACCGACGCCCTACTGTAAATTCATTATAGTGAAATAAAAGTTTAACGGCACACATATGTAACTGTGAATATTATTTAATATTCTATAAATAATAGATCAAGCTGATTAATGATGATAATAAACAATTATCACATTTACCTGGACTTCTGATAAATACATAAAACAATCATGTGAAAGAACGAGTAATGTCATGAACAACAGCGCCTCCTAGCGTCGAAGTTTCCACATTACGGTTAGCAGCAGAACGGATGTGACGTTTATTCGCATCTCCTGCAGGCAAAGTGCATGCTTTCTGTGTTATGAAAGGTGGGAAGTGAATGTGTTGGGTAACAGTGTGGTCTTCAGGTTACGTTACACAAGTTCACGTGTAATGTAAAGATTTGTGTCCTTCTCATCTGCCCGCGACCTCACAACAGCAACATCAGAAGAAGGAGAATGGCGAAAAGAAAAGACACTCGGCAGAAATCGGACACAAAGAAACCGAAGCAGATTGCAAACACCAAATCTGGATCCAAAACACAAAAAGCCAAAGGTATTTAAGTTCTGTGAAATAGACTTTGTCTCTGTGATGTTCTACTAGTCGCTACTGGTGATGTGATGCAGCTCTGCAGTTGAATGAGTGAAATGTAAATCGTTTGAATGAAGCGGTTGTTACAGACAGACAGATCGACTCTACAGACAGAACTTGAGGTAAAGTTTGTTTTATATTCGCACATTCGGACTGTTTCCTTAATAATACGTCTTTATTAAAGTATTCTTTGCAAATGGTGAAATCATATTAGCAGCCGACACCTGTTAAAAATACAGCATTGTTTACAGTCAATAAACAGTGCCAATGCAGTTTTGAAGTCATATCTACATGTGATTTCAGACTGAATATTCAAAGTACCATGGTAAACAATATAGGGAGCATGTCACAAGTTGTTACTGAACGAATGTGCGATTATAAAAGCAACTTTACCTCAGACAGACAGCTGCAGTGTGCAGGTGTTCACTCAGTCTCGCTTCAGTTCACTTTCAATGAAAACAGACCCTCAGTTAGTTCATTAAACGTGTCAGAGTTAAAGTCAGAATTAAATGTGAACCAGGTTTTGCAAATAGACTACATATACTGTATATTTGATATCATAGGTTACAAATTTATACTTCTAGTTATTGCTATTTTTTTTGTATTTTTTTTCATACTTAATAACATTGTTTGTTAATAGAATAACCCATATTAATCATAGGTCTTTGTCTCGTGGTTGAAAGTGTAAAAATGTTGTATTCTCTATAAAACAAATATGATATTTGCACAAACATACACATACTTTATTAATAAAAGACTGAAATATCAGCCTGTCAGTCAGGTGAATCCAGCATCCTGACTGCTGCTGATAATGGAGGAATGATCTGAAGTTGCTCTGTTTTCATATTTGTACTGCTACAAAGATGTACTTGTAACACTTGTACTTTGTACTCATCGTCTTTTTTAGAAAATGGTATGGAGACCAAAAAGAACCTCAAAAACTCCAAGGTGGCGTCTCGACGGTCCAGAAAGGTGAAAGATGTTCTTGATGAGGTCACCAGCAAATACTTCCAGGACAGCGAGGTTAAAACTGAAGAGCCAGAGGACCTGAGTGACCACAGTGAGGAGAGGATGATCATTGAGGATACTTCACTATCAAAACAGGTCAAAGAAGAGGAGGAAGACAGTGAGGATGAGGACGACTGGGAGGAAGTGGAAGGTATGCATTTTTTTATGAGTTTGTTTGCAACCCCAATTTTCTAAAGTAAATGATTTTTAATATGTATTGTTATATAAATTGTAAATACAAGCAAAAGTTGATTTTGTTCATCATAACAAATCACAACAACCTTTCTTTAATTACAATGTTTAATAGTTTGGGAGTGGAGGTGACTTATTGTTTAAGCTTCGCAAGAAAAATCTCTGCCCAATCTGACATCAGGCAAACCTTTAGATGCTCGACAGCATGTGGTTGTCCATATCTCCTCTTTATGATGGGAAAATGCGTGTTCAATATATGAGACAAATCTGCAATGTCAAACACGTTCACTTCGTGCTCATAATGCCACTACTACAACACAAAGAATGAGATTTCTACTGTAATATCCACAGATTTCCCAAGAAAGGTGTCATCTTGACAGCAGTAGATGGTTTTGTGCTCTGCCATTATATTCCCTCATGTCAATGATTCTTTAGCGCATATAATAGTAAATCATGCCATTTGCTGTGCTTTACCTCCATATCCTGACAGACATGCTTTCACTTGTGTTGTTCATGAATGTCCGGTTGGTTTCTTTGGTCTTTTTCAATGCTTTTCTCTTTTACATATGAGCTCAAGTGGCTTTAATTTAAAACCAAAGCATGTATGTAATTCTGTCTGAGGCTCAAAAAGTTATCTCGTATACAAAATCTCTGGATTCCCTAAATCTTTTCACGTTATTAGGGCTGCTAAATACAGTTGAGGTCAGAATTATTAGCCCCCCTGTTTGTTTGTTTTTCCCAATTTCTGTTTAACGGAGAGAAGATTTTTTTAACACATTTCTAAAAATAATAGTTTTAATAACTCATTTCTAATAACTGATTTATTTTATCTTTGCCATGATGACAGTAAATAATATTTTGCTAGATATTTTTCAGGACACTTCTATTACAGCTTAAATTGACATTTAGAGGCTTAACTAGGTTAATTAGGTTAACTAGGATGGTTAGGGTAATTAGGCAAGTTATTGTATAACGATGGTTTGTTCTGTAGACTTATCGAAAACAAAAAAAGCTTAAAGGGGCTAATAATTTTGACCTTTTAAAATTGGTTTAAAAAAATTAAAAACTGCTTTTATTCTAGCCGAACTCAAACAAATAAGACTTTCCCCAGAAGAAAAAAATATGATCAGACATACTGTGAAAATGTCCTTGCTCTGTTAAACA